AAGCGACTCAAATCGGAAGAATTTCCACGTACGCGATTTACGTTCCAAAACCCGCCAACGGACGTCATACATCAAGAAATTGTTTATTCATTCGCTTAGATATTGGCCCTGAGACATTTTCCAACGTTTTTATATGTAACGTTCAGCTGACAAGGGGTGCCTTTTGCACTCATCTCGTCTTTTGAATTGTGATCAACTCCGTAAAAATGAAATCTTCCCTTCTGGGGCACATAGAGAAATCTAATCTGGGAATTTCGGCGCAGATTCGACCCTAAAATTTCAATTTTTCAAGGAGGAATCAGTCTTAAAGTTCCGAGATTGAATTCTTTGGTTGCAAAGAAGCGTAGTTAAAAGTCCAAAAAGTAACGAAAAATTTTCTCCTAGAAGGTCACACACAGCCCTTTCACCCCCCCCCCCCCCCCCNCTTCATGGCCCTTTTCACAGTTCTGGTCACAATTTTAGAACAATATACAGGTGTAGTGCTTTAACGGTGGAATACTAATTTCCAAGGTAGCAGGAAAGTGTTGTCATTTAAGGGATGATTAGATTATTTCACATCGGGCTCATCTACTTTGATGTGGATGCACGGAAGTCCAATATTCCCTTTCACTACTCTCTATACTCTGTCAGAAAAATCTAGATTTTTCTAAAGAGGTTCACGAAATTAACTCGTTTATTTGACAAAATAATATTTGTCTCTGTAGACGCTTCGGCGATGCTCGGTTTTCCGAAAAAATCCAGAAAATTAGAAGTTATAAGAATAATATACACTTCCCAATTCCCTAATATTTACTTTTCCTGCTTGGNTGGGGGGGGGGGGGGTTTGAGGATTTCTTACATTAAAGGATCTCTTGTGTTTACTGTGATATTTCGATTTGTCTACGTGACTCGTTTTTCGGAAGGTCGATTCAAATGGGGCTTCCACACTTGCAAATCTTTACTGGACGCCAGCCCTTCAAAAGAGAGTGGTTGAAATTTCGAAGCGTCCCTCAACAACTCCGACACCATCCGTGCAGAAGTTTTGACACGGTGATTGAATAAAATATGGGAATTGCAGCGCGGAAGCATTTTATTAGCGTTGAAGGTTTGAGATGCGGTGTCGCGACTCACAAGGCGATAGCATCCAGAGTTGCCGTTTTGTACCGAAAAATACCTGTTTTCTCGCAAAGACATTTTATGGAGAAAAGCAGGCACGACCCATGCATGACCCAGGCCGTCCTTGATGCCAGCTTTCACATGATTAAAGGCTTTCCACACTATCTACAGTCCGTCAAACTGAGCGGGCCCTCTGCGTGATCTCACGGAGCTTATTTGTGCCCTACTTTTGTGCCTCGTATCAATTGAATTTTGAATTTAGTCCAAAGATCTTATAGGAATCTCATAATGCCCACTTTTAAAGAATTAAAGGCATTTTCCAATATGTACAGTCCTTCAAAATGAGCTTTCCGTGTGATTTTGCTAAAAAATGACCTTCGCCCGTAGCCCACGACTGCCCCCCCCCCCAAATATTAGCGTACCCCAAAATCGTTTGATGTGCATAGACCACATTGAAAGCATAAATCGGAGAATAGCCAGTTTACACCTCCCGCTTTCGCGCCTTCAATTTTGTAGATGCAACACGGACGCTCATCAAGCTCGAATAGTTGTATCTCTGCGCCGTCATCAACGCGCGTCCTTTCCTTCGCTCCATATCCATATTGTGTTTGTTTCCGTTCGTCATATTTGTAGTGGTGCATCGAAGGCCACTTGAGTGACACAGCAAAAGACACCTCAGCTATTATTTTATTTGTATCACCATGTTCCAACTTTTTTTGCGTGCAATGTGCATAAATGCGGTAACGTGAAAAAAACAAGGGGGAAAAACGGGATGCAAGACCAAAAATACAACACTAAAAACCCGACACGTTTCGACTTCAAATTGAGTCATTTTCAGTTTCGTTTGTATTCGTCAACAATTTTCATTCGATTTTTTTTTTTTTTTTATCTCATAGCCACCAACATGTAAGTCTCAGATTTTTTTAATCGATCTTTTTAATTTTCAATTCATTTTCCGACTGAAAATGACTCAGTTTTGAGTCGAAACGTTTCGGATTTTCAGTGTTTTATTTTTAGCCTTGTTCCCCAATTTTCCCTCTTGTTATTTTTCATTTTACCATTGTTTCGGGCTGCTTCGTAAAAATGTGTATAGGTCGAAGGCAATTAGTCAAATCAGGCATTTTATCAAATGCCTAAGCCGGTAGTCAAATTTTGACGATTTACAGAATTTTGTAAATTTATGGCGAGTAGTTCACGGGCTTTCAATATTTTGGGAAGAATAACCCTTCAATTCGCGAACTCTCCTCGTTCCTTCCTTTTTACATGCCTTTGGTACGTTCAAATGTTAAAATTTAAAAAATTCCATGCTTCATGATATAGGATCTTAAAATCGTTCAATATACTAACTACTGTATGCTGAATATTTTTACAGAGAATTCTTTCTCTCGGGAGCAACAAATTATTCTGTCTCAAATCAGGGTACAAAATCAAAATTTCAATGTAAGTAAGAATATTTGACCATTTGCCTAGGCATTTGACAAAATGCCTGATTTGACTATTAGCCTTCGACATATCTTTAAATGCGGTAATCGGTCAAGTCTTTTCGAAATAAACCAAGGTGTTGTGGGTGATTATTTTTGATTTGAATTTGAAACTCCGGATATGGGGCCTCCTCCAGATATGGGTATGCATTTGGATCCGTGGATGTTTGAACTGTCAGCGGACACTCTCGTATTAATAAAGTTACATTAACTTCGTTACAGACGGGAGCCGAGGGAAGCGGCATCATCCGCGTCGGCCATTAATTTCATTTCTGTCCAAAGGCGTGCTCGGGCTTATAAACGCGTAAGCTGGGATATTTTTCAACTACTATCGTCGCTCGTCGCCGGTCGCGTCACGATTGAAAGGGGTTTTTAGGCTACTCCGAGCAGAATAATTACCTTTACGATGATATTGCATGTTGATTAATTGACAAGTAATACTACGATTCGCCCCTGTTGCCGCACTTTCCGAAATGTTTTATTCAATGGCGTGGCGTGCTTTGCACTGAGAAAAAAAGTTCGGTAAATCCGAACTAGTTTGGATCATATGGAACCACGATTTTGTTCGGTACACACAACCGAATTATTCGGTCTGTTCAACCGAATTGTTCGGTTTGTGCAACCGAACCTTAATAAATTCTTACAGTTCGGTTCAGTGGACCGAAAAGTTCGGCTGAGCAGACCAAATAATTCGGTCGTGTGTACCGAACAAAATCTTGGTTCCATATGAACCAAACTAGTTCGGATTTACCGAACTTTTTTTCTCAGTGTGCGATATATCGATTGTTATGCCATTTAAACCTACGGGAAAGGATCGATAATCAGGGTGTTCGCAGCGAACACCTTAATAATCGATTTTTTACCATAGGTGTAAATGGCAGATCAATCGATGTATCGCAAATCACGCTAAGCCACTGGTTTTATTTATTTTATTCATCATAGCGTCACCTTCCGGCCAAAATAACACGGGTATGATAGGTCATCACCATAAAGTACCCACTCTATCAGGTACACAGTGGATTGAGGCAATTAGAGAGGTCGGACATGAAATTGTTGACTAAAACTGCAAACGTTGATGTTTATTGCGTCACATTTTCACGTCGAACTTCAAGGGGTAGTCTCTGAAGAAAATTTCATGAGGAAACTGATAGACCCACTTTTAGAACCTCAGAATCTTGTATAAACGGAGTTATGAGCGTTTAAAGCTTCCAAATGTTGTCCGACCTCTTCTATTAACTCGATCCACTATGCGGTAGTTCTCCATACAGCGTGGTAACTCAAAAATCGTGAATTTCAAGCGTGTCTCGTAATAGTCAAGCGAATGTGCAGCCCGACCGTGAATTAATTAGCTCATGTTTAACGAAACCTTTTAACGATAGGTTCAAGAGAGAACAAACAGGCGTCAAAATCAACAAGTTTTACATCGGGGTAATTACAGTTTTGTAAAATCGTTATCGGATTACTTTCGAGCGAGTCCTACCGAGTAAACCCGATGTGGGAGTTGGGCTTGTTTACGGAGCCATTTGCCTGCATTCCCACGTATATGCAAAAACATTTCCTCGGCGCTGCGACCGATACTGGGTGATAGAGAAGGTGAATATTACAGGGGAGACTGAAAAAAAGGATTGGTAGAATTTACCATTCCTTCAAGTTGTATTTCACACAGCGTCAATTTAGAGACAAATCTGCCAGAAGAAAGGGAAACGTTACAATGTACTGGTACAGGTAACCATTCCTCTGGCACAATCGACTTGAAGATTGGTAGAATTTACCATCCCTTCACGCTGTATGAAATACAGCGTGAAAGAATGGTAAATTCTACCAATCTTTTTTTTCAGTGTACCTGTAAAATGAATGGATTTTACTGTAATCTACGTAAATGTATTTCTTTATTCAACGCTCTACTCTATATTTTATACATCCTCCTCTCTTTTATTTTTATATCCTGTCGTGTTAAGGAAAAACGCCGCATGAGCCTCCAGGCGATCTCATATTACCTTCATCAAAATACTAATTTACCAGGCAAAGGAATGATTTTCCTTCAAAAATTTGGGACAATTTTATTTGCAATTCAATCTAGGATTTCTAAAAATTTCTATGAAAAATGTACGTAACTTTCCTCAAAAATAGATATTTTATCTGACCAAATTCGGCAACACTCGAATGTTCATACGGCGTTCTCCCTTAGCGCGGCAGTATTGACAACGAAGCAACAGCACGTCTTGAAATTGTTTGCACAGAAAATAAAGAGAATGGTAAATGAACTCGAGTAGATTTTTTAGTGTAAGCAATACTAAGCGCTGGTATCATTTTTTATACAAATAGCATTCCGTCTTGAAATTGTAATTAATAAGAGTTAAAAATTGCTGTGAAAATTTTTTTGAAAACGCATTTTTACTTTTTCAGAGTTTTTACTAAATCAGAACTTCTCCGCTAAGCTGTCCGCGTAAGTAGAAAACGAGTTTATCCAAAGGATTCCAACTTTTGTAAATCGTTTTAATATCGACCTACCGGCCGTTGATTTTTGCGTCCAGAAACGTACTTTTTTAAATGTGCCAATGGTGTTTTAATCTCTTTTGGATAAATGATATCTTTTTATAGAACAGTGTGCAAGTTTGTTCTAATGCGGAGCTTGTTTTACTCGCATGAAGTCTCTTTAAACTGAAAGTTGACACACAAGGAGTCCTTTTCTGATGGGCTCCCGCATTTTAGGCTTACTTAGTGTCACGAACGGCATACAAGATCACATTTTCTCCGATTGCAAAGACTATTTGGATAAACTGGAATAAACCGCGGAATTGGGGGTACGCCAGAAAATAAACGGAATAAGAGAGGGAATGGAGAACAGGGATTGTAGAATGAGTGGGTCAAAGATTAGGAAAAACGTTCAAACTGTGTAATCTCTTGTAGCTTTTTTGACGTCCACGAGCTGAAATGTTCTAACTCTCTCTGTGAGTGCCTCTATCCTTGAAGTAGCAATTCAAGCAGGGTCGCCACAGTCAGGGAATACCGGGAAAAGTCGGGAAATTTAGAAAAGTCAGAGAAAACCTGGAAATGTCAGGCAAAATGACAAAAGTGTCAGGGAAAAGTTGTTAATTCATCATTTTTAGCTCCCTAGAATGAATTTAACGTTCAGAACTACAAATTTTGCCTGAAAACTATTTGAAACTATGCGCTTCTGGCCACATGCCATATTTCCAAATGTAAGAAAATTGTATTCGAATGTATTAGGAAAGTCAGGAAAGTGCCAGGGAATTACATTTCCTATTTTTTGTGACCACCCTGTTCGAAGACTCCCTGAATTTTTCATCTAGTATGACAGAAATCGACTACCTCGAAATGGCAATGCCACGAATGCACTGCTTCCTTTCAACTGCGTTATAGCAGAATTAATTTCGTTAAGCTCAATTCCCATTTCAAGAAATAGCATAAAAAAGTTAATAAATAAACGGGTGACAAAGCTGAAAACTGTGAAATGACGTCGATGGCACCGAGTGAAAATGAGTCGGAAGTTTCCGTCGAGCGGGTTTTTAAAATTCACTTTTATTCGAGGTTTTATATCCGACGGGAAAAGGGTTGAATGGTCGTTGAAAGATAGGGCCGGCAGCCAAGTAATCCGGATCGTTTTTTATCGCGTTTTGATCGACAATCAAAATGTAACTCATCGGACAGCGGATCCGTGGAAGTGACGCTTAATCGGGGCTCACCGGTTGCCGCATCGATGACAGATAAAAAATTGAATTATTTCAGCCCAGCGAGGATATCCGCCACACTCCGAAGCTCGTCACACAATGGACTCTAATCGCATGGATTGGAAATGGGGACTGAATGGACATTTCTAACCGCTCAACAGAGGGCTCATTGTTGAAATTGATAGACAAAGATATAGACAAAGAAGACAAAAGGGATGAGGAGGGATCCTATTGGAGGAAGTAAGTGGTTATAATGCGGACTTAGGAGGTAGGTAATAGACTAACTAACGGCAAACCACGAAAGACCAATATTAAGTCCATTATTCACACCCTTAGCCTGTGAGAACCACCTATTTCAACCAATAGTATCTTTCCTTACTCCCTACGTCTTTTTTGTTCATAGCTTTGTCCATCTATTTCAAGAATCAGCCGGCAGGAGAAAAAGTCAATGGAACACCAGACAAGGAGCTAATTGGACTTATTTATGTTAAAAGGAACTATGTCTCATGCAAACCCTATGCACATAGTTCCTTTTAGCTTAAAAACGTCCAATTATAAAGCAATATGATTTATTTTATCATCTTAAAAGTTTGTGTGGAACACGATTTGCGAAACGAGAATAATTACTGAAATCGAAGCGTTGGGTGCAAAAAAGGCATTTCTTGGTTGCGTTGTTTCAGAGTCGCCACTGCTAATTTTTATTTTACAGAGGAAACTTTCTTATGAATTTTCTGCAACTTTCAATTTTCAGTATTGTAAAATTATGAATAAAAATTCAGTTAAAGTCTTAACGAATCTTAGTTGCATTTGCCTTTCATTATAATATTGATGAAACGCCGGCGGAGATTTTAAGACACCGCGACCGAAAAGTGCCCTTTCTGTTATCCAGTCCTTTCATTCACCACTAATCAATCCACGAAGGTTTTTATTTTTATTGGTAACAAAAATTTGAATTTCATACTCACAAGACAGATAAGAGTCTTCATGAATTACGCACTTCCGTTTCAGTAGGCTTTTTAATGAGCCTTGTTTCACCTCTTTCATATGTTGTTCAAAGTTTGGACAAAGTGAGATACCTCGCTATGCCAAAGCGTCGATATTGAGATAATCATATGTGAATCGGTGAGAACGAAAACACACCTACTCTGTAACTCAAAAATACTCTATTTTCATTGAAGACAGTCAATTTTTAAAAAAAGTCATTGCAGGTAGCACATCTAGTTCATCTTGAACCTTTTAAGTGTCCTTACTTACTTGTTCTCCGGCGCCAACAATATTTTTCTCGGACTAACTTCTTCACCTACTGTGCAGTTTTGTGTGCGTCTTGATTATTTTGTTTTTTTCGAGTTGGTGTGTTTTCGTCCTCACTGATTCATTTGCATTCCTCAAAGACTGTCGGGGTGACATTTAGCGTGTGATTCTATCAAGTAGATTCTGGTTTTTTGCCCGAGTTAGTATTTTGATTTTATCAATGAATAAATTTTAATATCCTGATAAGGAGTTACTTACTTTTATTAATTTTCGTCGCATAGACGTGCTCTACGTGAAATATTGGCAAGAAAATATGTGTCAAAATGCTTAGTTGTGCATTACCCATGCTTATGTTCCAAATTTCTGCAAAGTTTGCCCCATTGTGTGTCGGAAATCGTGAGCGAATCACGAGATAATGATCGATTTCGTGTACACGCGGGGCTCATTCATCCCGGAGGACGATGCGAATAAAATTATGGCCGCTATCAAATTACTTTTAACGCCACCGCACCGTGCCCTCATACCAAGCGACGGATTCCGTTTACGCCTGATCTTCGAATGATACCTCCGGCAGAACAGCGCAGTCCTGTAAAACACTCGGAAATGTACCAGTTTGTAGAATGCAGAACTATGACTGTCTTACAGAAAAACGAATGGGAAGAAAAAGCGCCTTCAATATTTAGTTATGCAACCCACACGTCCATTAAGCCCGAATAGTTGTATCAAGATTCAAGGCGCTGTAATGTATACAGCAATAAGTTTGGGAATCGTTCTAAGGAAAGGAAAGTTCTTCCTTGTCGAATATGATTCTTCTAAGTCGATTGAAATTAAAGGGAGTCTGTTGTTGTACCTTTCAAAATTATACGCAGAAGACCATACAGATGTTTTGATATTTGATCAATTTGTGCGTGTTTTACTGAGAAAGAACATTGAAAAACCAATATTTTTAGACAAAATAGGCTGTCTTGAGGAAGATAGAAAGGGAAGCATGAACGCCCTCATTAATTAGATGTGCAATTTGCATGTACATCAACCTTGTTCATCAAGGTGTGTCTACGCATACCGTATAAAGTTTGAGAATCGGGCTGAGAATATAATAAGTCTTTCTCGTCCGATTCGGTACCTATCAATTATTTGAAATTAAACTGAACTTCTTGTTGCACTTTTCAAAGACAGTAGAGACTATCTGATGTTGTGTTAATATTTGAGCGACTTGTATCTGCTCTCCTAAGAAAGAACCCTGCTGGAAAACAAGTTGGACTACATTTTGCAATTAGAAGCTACGAGTTTCGGCTAACCTCCGAAAGCAACTATCTCAATACGTAAGCTACTAGTACTCATGTCTTTTCCTGGAATGAGCCGTAAGTAGTAGTCCCCAACTGGAAAATGTAGGCCAATTCATTTCAAATAGACATACGACATTAACTTCGACTTTGCCTCGAGTGATATCTGATTTATATTAGTTTCATGGGAACACGATTGTTTGCATAATCACTCATGGGTTGATATAAACCATCCTTAAGAGGGTCATAAAGTCATATTTGTCGCGAGGTATACGATGAAATAACGCGTTGATTCAGTCTCCTTACGTGTTGAGGATACGGGAGGAATGTACGTATCCGCTCAGAGGTGCCTTCCAAATGAAAAATGCCACCCGCATAACTTAATAACGCCTGCATGCAACTCTTTTAAGGGCATTATTAAATATTAGGATGTATTTTATTGCCACAACTTTAAGCGCCGCACATATCTCAGCGTTCGCTCGGGTGTGCAGACCTCAGCGAGCTTATGAAAACTGCTCGGGTCTTTCCAGACGATTAAAGTATATTTTAAAGCCAGTCTATCATGTCTTAAGGTCCAAATTTAAAAGTCCGATTCATTCCTTCTTTTATTCAGCGCATTCGTAAGCAAGCAGCAGAATTGGACGTAATTCTATCAAACTGAACTTTGTGCATTAAGGCATCATAAGCCCTGAGACCTATAAGAATACATGCATAACAGGGCTCACGTCAAAATGCGCATAGTTCCGTTTGACAGAAATACGTCCAATTATTAGTCTGTTGCACGCAAGAGACACAGCCAAATAAATACACTCTGTGTACAGATAAATTCGCACGAATATCACGTTGGGCACATAAAAAAATTCCGAAGTTCATTCTTCAGCGCGCAATTTGCGTTCGTATCATGTTTTTTCAAGTTTTCCGACCCTACAGGTAGTTTTTCGCAGTCACCGCCGAGCAGGTTTGCACTGGCAGAGGAGTAAGAAAAATTAACCTGACTAAACAAACGATTTTACTAACTTTTTCTATTGTGTGAATTCAATCGTTTTCAGGCGTTTGTTTCCTTTTTCTTTCTTTATTTTTTAAAAACAAAAGCAATTTTTTTTTTTTTTTTTTTTTTTTTTTTTTTTTTTTTGAGTTTTGTGGCTTCTATTCCTTTGTATCTAACAAAATCATTTTGAATCGATCGAAATCTTACGGAAGGAGAGTTTGTAAAACAGTTT